CACACGTGAAGGGCCTGGCACTGCCAAAGGGACTTAGGGGTTGCCTCACTGTTCTTCAAACTCATTAAGTCCTTCCCTACTTTAGAGCCTTGTGCTGGCTGGTCCCTCGGGTCCTTCGGCCTGGAACATTTCCTCTCAACCACCTGTTCCCTTCCAAGTCACTGCTCATCAAATCCTACTCAGATCTCCCTATTTAAGTGGAAATCTGCCCTCACCTCCTTCATTCCATTATCCCAAGACCAGTTCGAACATTCCATTCTTGCTGCATTGATTTAAGATCTCAAATTAATCCATAGGTGTTTATAATATTTATAGCCTCCCCTGGGTAAATCAGTCAGTATGCATAAAATGTACCTATTTGTGTTTCTATGAATCTATCACCCATCTAGACACCTAAGCTTATACTGGGTTATTCGCTCAAACCCTATACATTTCTGTTGTTATTGAATTAGTTGTTGATTCCTCAGAGAGGCATATTAAAATACTCTAATTACGTATTTGCCTATTTCTCTTTTATATTTCTAAATCATTATAATAGCTTACAGCTGTCTTGTTAGGTGTAGAAAATTATATCTTCTACCAATATAAGGTCCCTATCTACTCATTTAATATTTCTGGCCTTGAATTATATTACGTTATCTGATATTATTTCATCTACTTTCTTTTTTGTGGCATTTCCTCAGTACATATATTTTTCAATCCTTTACTTTTAACCTTTTTTTCCCTGTCGTTTGTTTTCATTTTACCTACTATACCCAGCATACAGTGACATTTTAACATCTCCCCTGAGAATCTGTTTTTAAATGGGTGACTGTAATATATTTTCATTCACAAAGATTATGAAGATGTTTCAAATTATTCCAGCCTATCCTGGCCTGTTTCTAGTAATTCGGGACAAATGGGAGCCCATGTTCCATATGGCTCGTAAAAGTTATGAATTAAGCTAAAAACGAAATATGTTCTATCCTAATGTAGCTTTGTAGTGGCAACATTATGAAATATGTTTAAAGGTATAATTTTTATATAATTAAAGGTGCAAAAATGTCAAAGAAGGCTGAATTAAATTATTATGTATCTGGAGGTCCTGTGGATGGGGGTCTCTTTGGGCTGCTATAACAAAATACCACAGGCCGGGTGGCTGATAAACTACAGAAATTTTTTCTCACAGTTGTGGAGCCTGGAAGTCTGAGATCAGGGTGCCAGCAAGGGCAGATAAGGGTCCTCTTCTGGGTCACAGACTTCTTCTATATCCACACTTGGTGGAAGGGGTGGGAACTCTGTGTGATCTCTTTGATAAGGGCACTAATTATATTCATGAGGGCTCCACCCTTGTGACCTACTCACCTCCCAAAGGCCTCAACTTCTGAGGGGTTAGGATTTCAACATACGAGTTTGCCGGGGGGTGGAGGGGGGGACACAAACATTTCAGTGATATTTAACTAATTTATACAGAAGTATATATTGATTTTACAAAAGGCATTTTCCTTGCCATCATTTCAGCAAAATTACGTTTCTAAATAAGTTTTTTCCCAAGAGACGGAGGAGGACAGCAGAGGAGGAGAATCCTGAGCTCATCTCATCCCAGACACACTGAGTGAACAGCCACATTTGTGTGACAAACTGAAAAATGACCCAAGGGCTCCGGCAAAACAGATCTTCCACGGTTAATCATCGAGATAAGGCCACATTGAAAAGGGTAGCAGGGGCGAAGATGCAGCTGGGAACCAACCCCCAGGTGACACACGACAGGCACAGAGAAGCCGAGAAGCAAGAGGATCAGATACCACCCTGGGGACCCCAGGCACCGGAGATCCGCAGTGGGAAGATGAGTCCCCATAACTCTGGCTTTGGAAACCAGGGGGGCTTAACTTCATGAGCTTTTAAAATCAGCGGGGCTTACCTCTGGGTATTTTAAAAATCAGCAGCCTTAACTCCAAGGGAGCCAGAGTGAGATAGGAAATGGAGTCCATGCTCTTAAGAGCCAACATAATAAATAACCTGGCCTGAGACACGGAACAGAAGCAGCAGTTTGAGAAGCTCCTGGGGTATGCCTAAAGGAGCCTTATTTACTCATCTCAGAACATGTGCTGGAGGGACAGGGATCTTCAGGAGACTTCTCCAAGAACAAAAATGCTGGTAGGTGCATTTTCTCTTCCCCTCTCCGAGCCTAGGTACCAAGACACTTGCGGACACCAGCCCTAATGCTCCCCACCTAGCTTGCTAACACCACATGACCTGCCCCTGGATTCCTCCTGTGGACCCACCCCATCCAACCCACCTAGGCCGGCATCCATCCAAAGCAGCTCCCGCCCTGCTACAGCCTGCAGGCAGCCCCGGGACTAGTGCTACTCCAAAGCCAGAGGGAGAGGCAGAGATAACCAGACACACCAGGGGATCTGCAGTTCCAGCAGCTGAGCCTTTGAGTGGGCCGTGCAGGAGAGAGCCTGGCTGTGGGGTGCACCTACAGTTGCAGCAGAAAGGCTAACTGCAGACCCTTAGCACAACTGCTGACCCTACCCACGGAGGAGCTCACAGTGGCCTCAGACAGACCTCTCAACACTGCAAGGACCAGCCCCTGCCCAGTGGGCCCCAAACAGTCAAAGCAAGTCATTCCAGCAGACTGGGCTGAATGCAAATGTGGCTCAGCCACAATAGTAGAATGCACGCAGCCCAGATAGGAGACCTCCCTGAGCATTTAGTTCTGGGGACCAGGAGGCATTGCGCTACAGGAGCTCTCCTACACAAGGCCACTACTTTCAAGACCAGGAGGCAAGGCTGACCTCCTGAATACATAGAAACAAACACAGAGAGTTAGACAAAATGAGCAGATAGAGAAATATGTCCCAAATGAAAGAACAGGACGATATCACAGCAAATAGCTAAGTGAAAGAAAGGTAAGTGAGAGGCGCCTGAGTGGCTCAGATGTTAAACGTCTGCCTTCAGCTCAGGTCATGATCCCAGGGTCCTGGGATGGAGCCCCGCATCAGGCTCCCTGCTCGGCGGGAGGCCTGCTTCTCCCTCTCCCACTCTCCCTGCTTGTGTTCCCTCTCTCACTGTGTCTCTCTCTGTCAAATAAAAATCTTTAAAAAAAAAAAAGAAAGAAAGAAAGGTAAGTGATATGTTTGATAGAGAATTCAAAGTAACAGTCATAAAGATATTTACTGGACTTGAGAAAAGAGTGCAAGATCTCAGCAAGACTTCAACAAAAAGACAGAAAATATAAAACAGAACCAGCCAGACATGAAGAGTTCAATAACTAGGCAGGCACCCATCTCCTCTTTCAACATGACAGATACCGCTGTGTCTTTTGTCAAGGACCTCCTGGTAGGTGGAGTAGCCATGGCCATCTCCAAGGCCACATTAGCACCCATCGAGTGGGACAAGCTGCTGCTGCAGGTGCAGCACGCCAGCAAGCACATCACCGCAGATAAGCAATACAGGGTCATTAGAGACTGTGTGGCTCATATCCCCAGGGAGCAGGAAATCCTCTCCTTCTCATATGGTAACCTGGCCAGTGTCATCAGATACTTCCCCACTCAGGCTCTCAACTTTGCCTTTAAAGACGAACACAAGCAGGGCACCTGGGTGACTCAGTTGGTTAGGCAACTGCTTTTGGCTTAGGTCATGATCCTGGAGTCCCAGGATCGAGTCCCGCATCGGGCTCCCTGCTCAGCAGGGAGTCTGCTTCTCCCTCTGACACTCCCCCCTCTCATGCTCTATCTCATTCTCTCTCTCAAATAAATAAATAAAATCTTAAAAAAAAAAAAAGATGAACACAAGCAGATCTTTCTGGGTGGTGTGGACAAGGGAACCCAGTATTGGTGCTACTTTGCAGGGAATCTGGCATCAGGTGGTGCCACTGGTCACATCCTTGTGTTTTGTGTATTCTCTTAATTTTGCCTGAACCCGTCTAGCCGCAGATGTGGGCAAAACTGGAGCTGAAAGGGAATTCCGAGGCCTCAGTAACCGCCTGGTTAAGATCTACAAATCTGATGGGATGAAGGGCCTGTGCCAAGGCTTTAATGTGTCTCTGCAGAGTATTATCATCTACCGAGCTATAGTTTGGTATGCATGACACTACAAAGGAATGCTTCCAAGAGCCCAAGAATACTCACATCTTCATCAGCTGGATGATATCACAGCGGTTGCTGGGTCGAGTTGCTATGCATTTGACACTGTTCGTCACCATATGGTGATGCAGTCAGGGTGCAAAGGAACTGACATCATGTACATAGGCATGCTTGACTGCTGAAGGAAGATTGCTTGTGATGAGAGAGCCAAAGCTTTTTTCAAGGGTTCATGGTCCAGTGTTCTCAGAGGCATGGTGGTGCTTTTGTGCTTGTCTTGTATGATGAAATCAAGAAGTTCACATAAGTTATTTCCTAGTCCCCCCTCCCCCTGTGAACAGGCATGTTGTATTTTTTTTTTTAAAGATTTTTTATTTTTATTTATTTGAGACAGAGAGAATGAGATACAGAGAGCATGAGAGGGAGGAGGGTCAGAGGGAGAAGCAGACTCCCTGCCGAGCAGGGAGCCCGATGCGGGACTCGATCCCGGGACTCCAGGATCATGACCTGAGCTGAAGGCAGTCGCTTAACCAACTGAGCCACCCAGGTGCCCGGCATGTTGTATTATATAACATATCTTGAGCATTCTTGACAGACTGTTGATTATTTATCAACAGCAACTATTTACTGGTTGAAAATGGGAAGCAATAATATTCATCTGACCAGTTTTCTCATAAAGCCATTTCCAAGATGATGGGACTCAATTATATTTTTTTATTTGTCACCCTGATAGATAAATTTGAAGAAATAAAAAATATCTGAAAAAAAAAAAACAAAACTAAAACTAAAAAAACAAAAACAAACAAAAAACACTGGAGGGAATCCATAGCAGTTCAGGGGAGGCAGAAGAACAGTCAGTGATCTGGAAGACAGGGTAATGGGCAGCAACCAAGCTGAACAGCAAAAAGAAAAAAGAATAAAAAATGGAATAGGTTAAGGGAACTCAATGACATCATCAAGCACAATAACATTCACATCAAAAGGATCCTAGAAGGAGAAGGGAAAGAGAAGGGGGGCAGAAAGCTTATCTGAAGAAATAGTAGCAGAAAACTTCTCTAAACTAGGGAGGGAAACAGACATCCCATCCAGGAATTACAGAGAGCCTCTACCAAGATTAATTCAAGGAGCTCCACACTAGGACACATGATAACTAAAATGGCAAAAAGTAATGATAAAGAGAGAATTTTGAAAGCAGCAAGAGAAAAGAAAACCATTACACGCAAAGGAAACCCCATAAGGATTTTTCAGCTGATTTTTTTAGCAGATTTTTCAGCAGAAACTTTGCAGGCCAGGAGAGAGTGGCATAATATATTCAAAGGGCTAAAAGGATTTGCAAGCAAGAATACTCTACCCAGGAAGATAACCATTCAGAATAGAAGGAGAGATAAAGAGTTTCCCAGGGGTGCCTGACTGGTTCAGTCAGAAGAGCATGTGACTCTTGATCACAGGGTCATGAGTTAGAGACCCATGTTGGGCATAGAGATAAAAAATATCAAAAAAAAAAAAAAAAAAAAAAACCCAACTTAAAAAAAAAGAATTTCACAGACAAAGTTAAGGGAATTCATGACCACTAAACCAACCAGAGGAAATGTTAAAGAGAACTGATTTGAAATTAATGAAAGTAAAAAAATTCACAAGTAAAAGCAAATATAAAGGTAGTAGATTAATCACTTATAAAGCCAGTATGGAGGTCAAAACACAAACTAGTAAAATCAATTACATCTACAAAAATTAATCAAGGGATACACAAAATAAAAAGATGTAAAACATGACATAATATACATAAATGTGGAGGGGGTGTAAAAATGTAGCACTTTTAGAATGTCTTGAAAATTAAGTGACCATCAACTTAATATGTCCTGCTATACACATAAGATTTTATATATAAACCTAATGGTAACCACAAATTTAAAAATCTATAGTGGATACACAAAAAAATAAAAATAAAACGAAATGTATCCAAACATAACACTAAAGAAAGCCAACAAACAAGGGAAGAAAGCAAGAGAAAAGAAAGGAACAGAGAACTACAAAAACAACTGGAAAACAATAAAATAGCAATAAATATATACTTATCAACAATTACTTTAAATGTAAATGAACTAAATGTTCCAAAACCAAAAAACAAAAACACAGGATGACTCATCTATGTGCTGCTTAGAAGATACTCAGTTTAGACCTAAAGACATGTACACGCTGAAAATGAGGGGCTGGAAAAAACATGTATCATGCAAATGGAAGCAAAAAAGAAGCTGGGGTGGCAATACCTATATCAGACAAAACAGACTTTAAAACAAAGACTGTAGTAAGAGACAAAGAAGAGTACTACATAATGATAAAAGGAACAATTCAACAAGAGGATATAACAATTGTAAATATCTATGCACCCAACATAGGAACACTGAAACACATAAAGCAGTTATTAACAGACATAAAGGGAGAAACTGAGAGTAATACAATAATAGTAGAGAAGTTAACACCTCCCTTACATCAATGGATAGATTATCCAGATATAAAATCAAGAAGGAAACAGTGGCTTTGAATGACACATTTTAGATATTTATAGAACACTTTATCCAAAAGAGAACACACATTCTTTATTTGTGTATGTGAAACATTCTCCAAGATAGATCACATGTTAGGCCACAAAAAAGTCTCAATAAATTTATGAAAATTGAAATCATATCAAATTTCTTTTCTAACCACAACAGTATGAAACTAGGAAGCAACTACAAGAAAAAAATCTGGAAAGAACACAAATACATGGAGGCTAAAAATATGCTAATAAACAATGAATGGGTCAACCAAGAAATCAAAGAGGAAATTTAAAAATAAATGGAGACAAATAAAAATGAAAACACAATGATCCAAAATCTTTTGGATGCAGCAAAAGCAGTTCTTTTATTTTTTTTTAAAGATTTTATTTATTTATTTGATAGAGATAGCAAGAGAGGGTACACAAGCAGGGGTGAGCTGGGGAGGGAGAAGCAAGCTTCCCACTGAGCAGGGAGCCCAACATGGGGCTCAATCCCAGGACCCTGGGATCATCACCTGAGCCAAAGGCAGACACTTAACAACTGAGCCACCCAGGTGCCCCTAGCAAAAGTGGTTCTAAGAGGGAGGTTTACACCAATACAGGCCTACCTCAAGAAACAAGAAAAATCTCAAATAAACAACCTAATATTACAACTAAAAGAACTAGAAAATGAACAAAGCCCAAAGCTAACAAAAGGAAGGAGATAATAAAGATTAAAGCAGAAATAAATGAAATAGAGGTTAAAAAATAATAGAAAGGATCTATGAAGCCATGATTTGGTTTTTTGAAGAGTAACAAAATTGATAAATTTTTAGCCAGACTCTAGAGAGAGGACTCAAATAAATAAATGAAAAAGGTGAAGTAGCAACCAGTATCACAAAAATAAAGGGGATTATAAGACACTATTACAAAAAAAAATATATGCCAACAAATTGGACAATTAGAAGGAATGGATAAATTCCTAGAAACACAATCTCCCAAGACTGAATAAAAAAGAAACAGCAAATCCAAACAGACTTACTACTAGTAATGAAATGAATTGGTAATAAAAGAACTCCTAACAAACAAAAGTCCAAGACTAGATGACTTCACAGGTGAATTCTACCAAACACTTAAAGAAGAGTTAATGCCTGTCCTTCTCAAATTATTCCAAAAACAGGAGAGGAAGGAAAACTTCCAAATCCATTCTGTGAGGTCATCATTACCCTGATACCAAAACCATAAAGACACTACAAAAAAACAAAAACAAAAGCAATTATAGGTCAATATCCCTGATGAACATAGATGCAAAAATCCCCAACAAAATATTAGCAAGCCGAATTCAACAATACATTAAAAAGATCACTCACCATGATCAAGTGGGATTTATTCCAGGGATGCAAGAACAGTTCAATATCATCAATCAACATGATACACCACATTAACAAAATGAAAGATAAAAACTATATGATCATCTCAATAGATGCAGAAAAGGCATTTGACAAATTCAACATCTGTTCATGACAAAAACTCTCAGTAAAGTGGATTTAGAGATAACACACCTCAACATAATATATAACAAATCGACAGCTGACATCATACTCAACTGCGAAAAGCTGAAAGTTTTTCCTCTAAGATCTGGACCAAGACAAGGATGTCCACTCTCGTCACTTTTATTCAGCATAGTACTGAAGGCCTAGCCTTAGCAGACAAGAAAATAATAATAGACATCCACACTGGTAAGGAAGAAGGAAAACGGTCACTATTTGCAGATGACATGATACTATATATAGAAAATCCTCAAGACTCCACTAAAAACTATTAGAACGGATACATGAATTCCATAAAGTTGCAGGATACAAAATAAAATATGAAAATCTGTTGTGTTTCTATACACTAATGATAAAGTAGCGGAGACGAGAAATTAAGAAAATAATCCCATTTACAGTGCCATCAAGGAGAATAAAATACCTAGGAATAAATTTAACCAAGGAAGTGAAAGACCTATACTCTGAAAACTCTAAGACATTGATTAAAGAAATTTAAGACAACACAAACAAATGAAAAGATAGTCCATGTTCATGGATTATAATAATTCATATTTTTAAAATGTCCAGACCATCGGGAGGAAGGGAAAAGATGGCTGAGGAGTAGGGGACCCTATTTCAACTGGTCCC